AGGAGGAGGAGGAGGAGGAGGGGGAAGGAACTGGGAGAGGCTGAGCCTCAGGAATGGAGCAGTTGGATCCTGGCACAGCAGGCAGGGGAGTTTTGGGGTGTTGGAGGAGGAGGAAGGAACTGGGAGAGCCTCAGGAATGGAGTAGATGGATGCACAGTAAACAGGGGAGTTTTGGGGTGTTGGAGGAGAAGGAGGCAGGAGTTGGGAGAGGTTGAGCCTCAGGAATGGAGCAGTTGGATCCTGGCAGAGCAGGCAGGGGAGTTTTGGGGTGTTGGAGGAGGAGGAAGGAACTGGGAGAGCCTCGGGAATGGAGCAGCTGGATCTACAGCAAAGAGGGGAGTTCTGGGGTGTTGGAGGAGGAGGAGGAAGAGGAAGGAGTTGGGAGGGGCTGAGCCACGGGGATAGAGTAGTTGGATCCGCAGCAAACAGGAGTTTTGGGGTGTTGGAGGAGGAGGGAGGGAACTGGGAGAGGCTGAGCCTCAGGAATGGAGCAGCTGGATCCTGGCACAGCAGGCAGGGCAGTTTTGGGGTGTTGGAGGAGGAGGAGGAGAAGGCAGGAGCTGAGAGAGGCTGAGCTGGCAGGAATGGAGCAGCTGGATCAGCAGCAAACAGGGAATTTTGGGGCGCTGGAGGAGGAGCAGGAGGCAGGAGCTGGGAGAAGCTGAGCCTCAGAAATGGAGCAGTTGGATCTACAGCAGGCAGGGAAGTTTTGGGATGCTGGAGGAGGAGGAACTGGGAGGGGCTGAGCCTCAGGAATGGATCAGGTGGATCCTGGCACAGCAGGCAGGGGAGTTTTGGGGTGTTGAAGGAGGAGGCAGGAACTGGGAGAGGCTGAGCCCCAGGAATGGAGCAGCTGGATCCTGGCAGAGCAGGCAGGGGAATTTTGGGGTGTTGGAGGAGGAGGATCACCCAACTCCCTGGGGACAACCCCCGCTGCTCCGCTGGTGGCATCTCCAGCTTCTCCCTGCTCGGGAAGGGCTGAGTCCTCTCTGGATCAAAACTCAGCTTCACAGGTCGAAGCTCAGCTGTCAAACCTGTCCCTAAAATCCGAGCTGCTCCTTCCCTGCGGATCAGGGCGGGTCCTGGGGGAGCTGGCCCGGAGGAGAAGGATCACCTGACCCCCTGGGGACACCCA